GAAAAGGAAAATGTTATCAAAGAGAAGTTGCATAATCTGTGGTTTTATGATTAATCTGTTTCATCTGTTCAGCGCACTTTTTTCTCATGATCACATGAATCATGAGCCAAGAACAATGAAACACGAAGCCCCCATGCCTGTGCCCTTACCATAAAGTGTTACCGAAATGTTTTGATTGAAGGTCATTTCAGTTTTCAGCTTACATGTCTAGTAAATCAATGGCTTCAAATTAAAGCAGTTTATTCATACATATAATACTTAATGCTACACTGGAGTGAGTAGTAAACATTTATATTTGTTAGATTTAAGTGTTTCTTAAATTGTTCTTTGTTACGAAGAATTGCATATTAAAACAGGAAGGGTAGAAACACCTGTTTTGGTTGTATTTGAGTGCTTCTTCTAAATTATTTGATCATTTTAACGAAATAATCTGCAGTTTTTTAATGAAACATTTAGGATTTGTTTCAATAACTTTCAAATCATGTTACCCATTGTCTCCAAATCGAAGCAGAATTATTTTTGCTACACTTTAAAGGGACATGCCGGCAAGTATGTTATGTTAGTGAGACTGCAGGTCATGAAATAAAAAATAAACATCAGTAATCTGATTGAAACGTTGGGTTCTCTTGCATATAAATGAGCTGCCACAGCAGGAACACACAAACAGCATCAGGTGTGTCTAAAACTAGTTTACAAAGTTAGTAGTTGGAATATAAAAGAGCTGATTAAATGAGATTCAGTGCTGGTCGGGTGTCGCTTATGTGTTTTGGTTCGGCCCTTTGGCAGGTTTGCACCATTTTCCTTAATGTATGCATCATCAGCAATATAACATCCTGCATGTTTTTCCATTGTGCTCTAATGGGCAGCCAGGGGTGGTCTGGTTGTGTTAAGATGAGCAGTTAATGTCCCTAATTTGGCTTTGAGTTTCTCTCCCTGTCAATGATTACCACCGTAATGTGTATGGAATGGTACACTTGTACACCAGTGGGACACACTGTTTCCCAAGGGATATGAACCCTTTTGATGGATTAACATGTTGTATTTGACTGTCGCTGTGAGTCATACCCCCTTTAGGGGTAAACCAGGACAGTTTATCCCTAAAGAAGCACAAGAACATTATTGTGTAAAGTTTGATGTTAAATGCATGATCATGCATAACGGTGTGCTTCGTCATTTTGACGTGAATGAGCTTGAGCCAATTTGTGTTTTGTGGCGGGCTTTGCTGTCCTACAGCCTGAAAGTAAATCCTCCTGCGTGGGTTTCAGGATAACTGAACTGAGATGTTGACAATAGATGTTTTATGCTCAGCTCAATAAAGGTCAAATTGAGATTCAACAGTAACAAAATAATAATGGCAGTTTAGTTGAATTTAGTTTGGTTGAGTTAATTTGGTCTTTTACCATTTTTACACTATTATTTTGTACAGTTCTAATTTAATATTTGCAGTACACTGAAAATAAAAGAACAAAAGAAAGAAAAAAATACAATGAATAAACATAACTATATTCCCAAAGATTAATATACACAACACTGTTTATACAGTACCTTCGTTTTCTATTTGTTTATCATCATATTCTTTTCAATCTATTAAGTCTATACTATTAAGTGTTTTTTCCATGATAATGATCTCTATTTACAATTATTATAGCTCTCTTCTGTATACAAATCAATGCAATTTGAAGTATACAATCTACAATAGTACATAATATAAGTGATGCAGATTCATACCAGTTGAATGGCGTTGAATGATTCTCAAAGAGCAGTCTGTTTTCACGTTGGCACCAGATATCAAACGCTGTGCCAGTTCAAACAGTTTACATCTGATCTCTATGTTAGGCTGAGTCAGATGCTATACGAATGTTATCTACAAATCTACCAGACCCCAGGATAAACAACCGTCTAAATTCTCTCCAAAGTCTGATATAAAATAACTGTTAACTGCATCATTGGCAGGGAACGAGTTTAATGCTCAAAATAGCAACTGAAAACAACAATGTTATCTGTTGGCCTATTGGTGATCAAGGTTCATGAAAACAAGTGATATCGTCATGCATTTGTATTGATTTTTCTCACAAGTCAACAACCTAAATGAATAGATAAGACCAATGGTCTTGCATGTTTTAACCCATTCATTCCCGTCATCCTTTACTGCATGTCAGTTCTGAATCAAGGTTGTTGTTTTTGTTTTTTTAAATGTATTTTCCAAGTTTATAAATGAGTGAAAATGTGTTTTGACCCTTTCAGATTTTCATTTGTTTCACTAATACATACAAAAAAACTGCTTGAAACTAAGATAAATGATCATTTCTGGCTTCTAAACTTTTAAATGACTATTGCGATGTTTTGGGAAATGTGATTATTCCCTTACAGGAATAAGATGTAACATGTTTGTTAGTGAGCTTTAAATCTGCTTAGGTAGATTTTGCTTCATTTGGAAAAAGCCAGGCTAGCTGTTTCTCTCTTTTTCAAGTCTTTATGCTGAGCTAAGCTTTTCAACTACATATATAACATACATGTGACTTGTGATAATCATCTTTATCAGAAAAAAGCAAATACCTATTTCCAAAGATGTTGAATATGACTTTAATGCAGTATGTGAAAGAGTTCAGAAGATTGAGGAATTCCAAAAGGTCGTGAGACTGTTTGAAGCTAAACATGTCAAAGTTTAAATATTATCAATTTAGCTTCATTTACAAGTGCTCAGGTCACTTTTCTTGTATGGAGCAGGTCCAAACCATATTCTGTATCATAAATCATCAGCACGAGTCAGTGAATTGACAACATTTAAATTGTGTATTCGAAGTATCCGTTTTGTCAGTTATTTAATGTGTGGGTGTGTACACATTATGCAGAATTAAACCTGGAATGAAGACGGTTTTGTTAGACCCATCCCAAAAGCTAAGCAATGTGTTCGTACATGTCCACAGAGATCATGTTTTACTCTACAGGTAGGTGTGTTTCTCCGAACAAAGAGGCCTGTCGAAAACTGTAATCTCTCTTTATAGGCTCAACCAAGCAATAAACCAAAACATAATCACATTGCGAGGCAAATCATCCAGAGCAACACCGCAATACTGTGGCAAATACAGTGTGCCACATACCTGTAATTGCACGTGTTTATAATTTCCTTGGTTGTTTAAATTCCTCTCTTGTTGTGGGAAATCAAATCAAATCCATAGCTGCTATCACCGGAGAAAATGTTCTACAAAGCCAACAAAGCCTTTCCAGGAAACAATGTAGTAATTGTTTGTCACAGGAATGAAGGCCCTGGAAGAATTGCTGTTTTGGAGAAATTATTTGTTCTCTCCTTTCTTTAAACTACAAAGTCTAACAAAAAATGAACGTACGAACAGAAAGACCCACTCGCCCGTGCGATTGTCTATCTACAGAACATATGCCAGAGTTACATTCACAGGAAAATTGATTCTTTCAGCAGTGTTGGTGGTCGTTAATCTGAGGCTGCAGGGCTGCAGGTTATCTGACTTCCCAAACAAATCCAGGAAAAGCACATTCATAAGAAGGCTAATCTTTAAAATCCTAATCTTTCAAATCTACTAACCGAACATTCTGCGACACTGGAAACCTGACATTCACGTACAGAAATACACAACAACAGGCTGAATTCATATTTTATACAGCACATTACATAACAACAAGTGTGTTTTTCAAGAGTTCAGGGTCAGTGTAGTAGGATGACGTCAGGCCGCGGGGCTCAGGGTCTCACTTCCTCTGAGTTTAACATGTTCTGTGAAAGCGGAAAACAGCCTGAATCAGTGTGTGTCCAAGCCTTTTTTCAAACATGCAGACCTGTACTTATTTGAGTTATTCAAATGTTGAAAATCCTACTGTATCAACAACAAAACCCTGCTGTTCTTTACACAATAATTCAACTGACATTGATCTCAGGGTTAAGAACATCACACACAGACAAGCTCCAGCCACAACTATAATTCACTGCTGACATCATCCAACCAGCTTGTTCTACAAAGCAAGCAACGTGTGGGCGTTGTTCTACAAAGCAAGTCCTGATCGAAAATGGAGATTCTTAGGAACATCAAATATTAGTCGTTGAGATTTGAATTTCCCTGGAAGGGGAAGACGTTTGTTCAACATTGGCTGTGCAATCTATTGTGGTGGTATTTTATAGACCACACTGAGTTTCCCAATTGTTGTCATCAACATGGTTTAATTAAAAATGGAATTGGCTGTGGCACAATAAAAATTGTCACCAGATGGTAATGCAGAAATTGAAAAGTGACTTATATTAAAAAAGTTGTTAAGAGAGATGCTAAATCAAGATGGAGTAGTATTCCTTTCATGATCACCAAAGGCATTATAAAGGAACTTGGTGCTGCCAATTGGAGGCTCTTTAGCAGGAATACTAATGATTGATTATTGGCTATTACAAAACAGTAATGCAGCATTTAATGGCAATCTTAGTAAGAGTACGTCTCAATTATTTGCAGCTCTGTGAAGGATACACAATAAGTGCTTCTGGTGATGTTCACTCTTCATGTAAACATGAAATGGTTAAACCACAGTCAAATGTACAGTTTTAGAGGGATTTTTGAGGTTTTACAAAGATTCCTTTCTTGTTGTTTTGTACATTATTTATGATAAAGTCTACCCTGTTAATAATTATTAATTGTGTATAAAGACTGTAAGAGAATATTTTAATCTGATCTGTTTATAGAGTCTCTTATTATTCCTTAGAGTCTGTGATACTGCAAACATCTGCTTGTAGTCACTCAAAGACTCCTCTGTGGGTTGAGGTCACAGGTCAAACGCTTCTCCTATATCCGTGGGGGATGTTGAGGCTTGTCTGGATCTCTTTGAGACAAGTAGACCATTGTCTCGCATCGGTTATTGATTAGGTAAACGCGGGCTTTCTATGGGCCGGCCTCTCCTCGTGTTGGTTAGATGTTTTGTGTCTTTTGGTTCAGAGATCGCTGGTGGAGCACTGGACATGTGTGAAACTAAGATGATCTCCCGGCCGTATTGTCTGTACTTTCTCCAATAAAACTCTCAGTGTTTTTGGCTAACAACGGTTCCAGACTCCTTCATTCTACCTCAACATTGCAACAACAGAAGTTTACCTTCACAAAGACAACAGAGTGGAACATTGATCCGCCTATGTTTTCCTAAATGTAACTCACAGCTCATGGTGGGTTAACTTCTTTCCATTCTTTTGAAGAAAACAGGTCTGAATAGAAAAATATCCGATTTCAGGAGTTTTTATAAAAAGGCTTTGGACCTCCAGAGTGAACAACTACATGGTTTGTTTTGCAGTTTAACTCACATCATGTCAGGGACTCTGGTGTCATCGCTCTCTCTCAGCAGGACAAGTTGTTTGTTTGCTCCACTGTAAATATTAGGGACAAATTACAATGTGCGGTGGTCATTTGCATGTGTTTTTTTGAAAACAAAATGGACTGCATTTTAATAACCTGATCAAATGTTCTTGATAATTGCATATTAAATGATGTTAGAAACTGTCAATCTTAGTCTTGGTGTTTTCTGAGAAACACAGAGACCAAGCAGGATGGCTGCAGGTTGTTGAATATATTTGCAGGACATATGGTGAACAATGGATTTATTGTTTGACATTTTGTTGATTTGTATCTATAATTTTGGATTCGTCATCCCAAATCAATCCTTATAAGATGATTGTCAGGAAATCAATTAAGGATAACCTTAACTGAATTAGTTATTTGGCCGTTACAGTAGGGATAATATGCAGGTGTTTCTTACGTTTTACGGTGGGTTTATGATGTCAAACCATGTTGTTCAAGCATTGTTTTGAGTTTAGATTAGACATTAGACATTGAGCTCAGGGTTAAGAACATCTCACGTAGACAAGCTCCAGCCACAACTGTAACTCACTGCTGACATCATCCAAGCAGCTTGTTTTACGAAGCAAGTCCTGATCAAAAATGGAGATTCTTAGGAATTTATAATATTAGTCGTTGAGATTTGAATTTCCCCTGGAAGGGGAAAACGTTTGTTCAACATTGGCTGTGCAATCTTTTATTGTGGTGGTACTTTATAGACCACACTGAGTTTCACCATAATCAACATGGTTTAATTATAAATGGAATTGGCTGTGGTACGATACAAATTGTCACCTCTGTATGACGGTTGCAAAATATGTCCAAGGTCTTTGGTGCACCAGACAGAGCAGGCAGTGGAGTGAAACTAAGGGGAGGGACTGAGCTCAGCAGGAAGCTTGAAGTCAGTCTTATTTCAATGAAGTCTGAGCTGGTGTCTGCTGCCTGCCTTTATCTCTCCTGTGAGGGAGATATGCTCTTACTAAGCCAGCTGAGGACTAACCACAGCAGCTGCTACATGATGCTCGGCAGGGGGAATTTAACTTTTTTCAGGAGTTGGTTTTAAGGTTCAAACTGTTTTTTTCAGATTTAACAATGTTGCCCAGAATTATTTTATGTGCACTTCTATCCGTTTATTGCTCTGGACTAGAAATGATAGCGTTAAGAAAAGTTGTTTCTAGACTTTAACTGCGTTTGAAGGACATAACAATGAATAATCAATCGATGACAGGGAGGACAATGGTCCCGACCATTCCTTCCATAATGTTTATTTTCGGAGTGGTTGGAAATATCATCGCCATCGTAGTTCTTTGCAAATCCCGCAAAGAACAGAAGGAAACCACGTTTTACACGTTGGTGTGTGGACTGGCAGTGACGGACCTGCTGGGCACACTGCTGGCCAGCCCGGTCACCATAGCCACTTATGTGAAAGGCTCGTGGCCCGGAGAGGACCCGTTGTGCCAATACTTTGGATTCACCTTGCTCTTTTTCTCCCTGTCGGGGCTCAGTATCATCTGTGCCATGTCCGTGGAGAGATACATCGCTATAAACCATGCCTACTTCTACAATGACTATGTGGACCAAAAACTGGCGGGTTTGACTCTCTTGGCGATCTACATCTCCAATGCAATCTTCTGCGCCCTGCCGATTGTCGGCTTTGGACAGGTGAAGAAACAATACCCGCAGACTTGGTGTTTTTTAGAGTGGAGGAGCAACACGACCAGCGATGCAGCCTACTCCTACACGTACGCGGGCTTCAGTTCTATTCTGACCCTCGCCACTGTTATCTGCAACGTGCTGGTGTGCGTGGCTCTGATTCGGATGCACCGGCGATACGTGCGCAGGATGTCGCTGGGAACCGATCTGGGGCGCACCGTGGAGCCGCCGAGGAGAGGACGCAGCTTTGGACGTCTGGCCGGTGCAGAGATTCAGATGGTCATTCTGCTTATAGGCACTTCGGCAGTGGTGCTTATCTGCTCCATCCCTCTTGTTGTAAGTTCTCTGTTTCTGCGTCATGTAGACTGTTTTTATCCTTTACGCACTAAATGTAAAGTTGTTTTTTTTGCAGACCAAAAAATTTGGTTAACATGTTACTTTTTGCCATATTTTGCCGTTCTCTGGCTTTACTCCATTACCCACGTTTTACGCACGGCTCCCAACCCCATCCCAAAAAAAGTGGTGTTATAGAGAAAGAGAGTTAACATGTTTTTATTTTCGTCTCCCTGCTCTTCATTTGTATTAGTGTGTTTTTCACCTCATACCAATCAGACACAGATATGTGGACTCATACTGTTGCAAACTCACACATATTTTCCTCAGAAACACACATAATCAGATGCAAGCACACACAGTTGGAAGCATTTATCTATCTACTCATAATGTATTCTTTCTTCCCTTATAGGCTCAGGTGTTTTTGAACCAGCTGTATAAAACTCCAGTGGAGCTGCGTCTGGACAAAAACCCTGATCTACGAGCGATAAGATTTGCCTCCTTTAATCCCATTCTTGACCCCTGGATCTACATCCTGCTCCGCAAGGCCGTTCTCCTCAAACTCATTGAGAAAATCAAGTGTTTATTTTGCAAGATAGGAGCACGGAGGCAACAGAGACAGGGAAACCTACACATAGACGCCCAACAACTCTCCTTGGTCATTTCTAACCAGGTCTCAAAGTCGTTGGTTTCCCACGACCTGAGAGACTTCACCAGCAGCTCCCAGACCTTCCTCTACCTGCCAGAGGGAAGTGAAGTGTACAAAGGAAGCTGCCATAAATCAGACACACCCTCTGGTTCACAACCTTCATCAGTCAGAAACTCACAAGCATCTTATTCGTCTGAGCAGGGCAGCGTTGAGGCTCACAGTAGAGAAGGGACACATGTAATCAGGGACCTTTCAGCTCTGCCATGCCCAAAAGACACAACACTTCAGGTGTCGTTGAACACACAGACAGTGGGAGGAAAAATGCATCTGACTTAACTCTGAATTAGGAAAAAACTCTAAATTCACTCTGAGTGAGACTGTCTACTCAATGGCTTCTCCAAAAGTGAACTTTTAAATCTCTGAAAAATGAGGCACAGAAAGAAAATAAATGACTCTTGTGATGCGGTGGCATGAAGTGAGAAAGGAAGTTACACTTGAAGTGCAGTGAGCTTTATTCTCCGGTTGTTTATTCTCTGTTTCAGCATCTACCTCAAGTGACCATCTCTGACTGTATGAGCGATTTGTCGTTTTGCCTAAAATGTCGTTCTTACAGACATTACCCTCACCTCATGACTCACGATTCAGTGATGGAATATATCTTTCATAATTTCAGCTATATTAAAACCTATAACTGTGACACACAGTAAATGGGTCCAGTTAAATCATTGAGTCACAGGCTTGTGGTTAATATGATACATTTAAACAGTATTGAATGTGAGTAATCACTGGCATGTGTGCTGCCATTGTAATTTATATATTTAACCAACTCTAATGTACAGCGCTTTTTGAAGGACATGAGTTAGTTCCATGACTAATATACAGTGCAGTATTATTATGTGGCAAACCCTTAGGATGTTGTTCCTAAGCCCTGGAATACACACACATAGTCATCTAAAACTAGGAAAACTTTTTTTCCCATCTTACAATTAGGCTACAATGATTCACGTAACACTTATCTCTCCCCAAAGCTACAGAAAATGTGTTAACCTGTGACAGATGTTGCGTTAATGTTGAGTTAAGCAACATCTGATATCAAACATATTTCAGCACACTTGTCAGCTTGAGAGAAAATGTGTTGTAGATGATTGATGTTGTGTAAAATATAGTTTGTAATAACATTATTCTTCTCCATGGAGAAGGTTATAGTTGATAAATCACACGCCTCAAGGGACTGTCCACACTAAGGATGTGTTTGATCAGAACACTTTTTCATGAATTTCTATTTTCAGCACAAACATCCAGAAAATCAGGGCTTTACAAAAAGTTTCAAACACTTAGCTACAATCATTTTCATTGGCAGATATCTATCTATCTTCACTCAAATGTTGGGGTTAAAAAAATCAGAAAATTGTCAATTTCTGTAAAACATGTCAAAAGAAATGTAATGGCAGAATTCCACTTTTTGATTTTTCATAATGATAGTCGATTGGCTATTTCTGTGGCTGTATTACCACTATACATATATATATACATACAATAGACTGAACCTTTGAACGTTTGAGCTTTTTCACTCAAATGAGCTTTATGTCTTAGTTTCAGCAGCTTTGAGGCAAACTCTGCCTCCTTTTCCCGGTTATCAAATCAGCTCCAGATTGTTGCTTTATGTAATGGATAAAATACCTGCCTTTAGGATAAGCCACATGATATTTGGCTTAAGTGACCTGTTACAAGGTCTTTAATTTATTTTAAAAATGTTATATTTAAATTATGCACTTTATTTTGTATCATGTATGTATTGTGATGTAGAATTAAATCTGTGGCCACACATTTCATGTCTGTAAACGTTATGTGGTTTGTGCTAGAGTTTAGCAGTAATAACTGAGAACTTTACGAAAGAAAATGTGTACATTTTATAATGAAGCTGTAATGCCCTTGCTATTGTTTCACAGCAAACATGACCTGTGACATGTCGCCATATGTTATCAACATAAAGCGGAAGTTAATAATATGAGCACCAAGTCTCTCACACTCTCTTTTCCTGCTAAGGTTTGGTGAGATCCTCTCATGACCCCCATTAGCACAGACAAATGGCCCGAGAAGAACAGGCTTCTCCAAAGTGTATAGACAAATAAAGGAACGTTTAACACTCGGGTAAGGTTAGACACAATTAGGATTTTTTTTAAGTGTACGAAAAGCCTCTGGGTCTTAGTAATGTGTCAAATAGCTAATGCCAGACAGACAGAAACAGAGAATGGAGGGGAAAAATATCAGGAAGTTGACCTTGCCGGGACAGCTTCTCTCCTGAAACAATAAACAAAATCTAAGGCTCCAATTCATTGCAATTAATCTTAAACAAGCATTGCAGTGGCTTTGACAAACACGTTTTGAAGACGCCTGAAAGAGTAGTGTAAGATTATCCAGTAGACTCTAGGAACAATACACATTTTTGAATCAAAATTGTGAAAAGATTACGCTTGATGTTCCGGTATGCTGTGATATGTAAAACAAGCCCTCCACTCCATCCTCTTTGCTGTCAGTCTGCGAAATAACTTATTAAATGTATAAATGAACAACCAAAGAGGCTGATATGTACCGCCTGCGTGAACAGGGTCATAGTCACAGGACAAATAAGAATAGCCTCACTAACCTTTACTCAAACAAATCTAACACAAGTCTTTTCGAAACATCAGCAATAAAGGAAGATTATTTTGTTGCATATGTTATGATAAAAGGAGGTGATGCTTGTGTAAAAGGATCCTAAATCACATACAAGTTGACATGAACGTCATTGTGAAGCTGCTTTACAACACACAGGTCCTTGGGTGACACTCTGCACCCTGTCTCCTCGTGTGCTCATTGATAAACAGCAGAAAACACCTGCTGCTCCTCCACCTCTGCTGTCAGCCTCAGTTGTAAAGGACACTAAACAATCCCAGTCTGAAAAGACGCCAGAACCAAAGCAGAAGTGATGCAGGAGCTGATAAATGCTCTATGGAGGTAAAAGAGCCACAGGCTTCTTCCCGTAATAATAGAGAAAATAGGAGATGTGATTTGTAAAAACAGGATTCCCTACAGTGTTCCTCTCACATTAGTGCCAATATCAGCCTTTGTGACGCCAATTAAGAAATAGGATCTTATTGCTAATATGCTATAACAACAAAGAGCTTAGACCTGGCTTAGATGGTCAGTTTGTCCTCACATCTCACCGACCCAGCAGATGGTCCAGCTGTTTTGTTCTTTTACATTTTTTCTTTCATATCATTTCACAACATTTTCTTGAAAGAGAACTGCAGTGAGTATCAGGGAAACTATTTTTATTTAAAAGATGTTACTATTTTGTGCTGTGGAACCATAAATGAAATTCCCTTCACCAACTTTCCTCAATGTACTCATCACGAGGAATGCTACTCGCTCCCAGAAAATAGTTTATTTTTTCAAAGTAAAGATATCTGGCCTTATATAAGAGAAAAAAAACTTGTAATGAAAGCTTGTGTTATAACAAGCTGAGAAAGCCTGTTGAAAAATGTTACTGAGGATATTTGATCATCCTTTTGATTTCATTAACACAAAATTGCTGAAGTGCTTCTTTAAGGTCGTGGCGGAAACCTCAGTGCAGAAATCTCACAATCTTCACAGATAAATCTCAAACTATTGATGGCATAATACTCATTACTAATGTTGTGTCTTAAGAGTTTATATAAGGCAAGGCAAGGCATGTTTATTTATATAGCAACTTTCAACACAAGGCAATTCAAAGTGCTTTACAAAAATGAACGACATCAAGAGCATTAAGGAAACACATTATAAAATGGCATTTAAAAACAGTCATTAAAAAGCAAAGATAATCAAATAAAATTTAAATAAACACATGAATAAAAGTTACAGTGCAGTGTGAGATATAAATAGTTCAATTCAAAGCAGCGGCAAAAATACAAGTCTTGAGCCTGGATTTAAAAAACACAAGAAGAAAATGCCATTTATACTATTGACCAGAATAAAGGTGTTTATTTATGTGTTAATATCTATTTGTTTAACCAGGTGAGGCAATTGTAGATGGAAACCTGTTCTGCGATAGAGAACGGGCCAAGACACAGTAACCAAAATCAGTGAAATAGATAGACCAAAAATAAATGTGACGATATAGTTCATGATGTGTTATGTTTATTTGTCTAGTGTCTTTGTGCCAACTACGTATGAATGTTTGCATGTTGTGTTTACTGTTGAAGCAGGGTTAGTTGGTGCATGTAGTTGCCTGTTTTCGCCACAAGGAGGGCGTGAAGGTGAGTAAGAGCGTTTCTTCCTGGGTGGTTGAGGGAACTGTGACGGAGTTTTTGGTTCATAATAAAGTTGCCACGAGTGAGCAAAGACAAGTTATGTCCGTTTGAGTCCTTGAGTGCAACATAAACGTAGTTTGGGTAAAATCATAGTGCTATTATCACATCTATGATTGAATCTACTAATACAATCTGATCTATCTTGCTATCTCTTGCTGCAGCTCAGTGAAGCTGCCGTGTGTTCAGTCTGGCAGGCGACGGCAATGCAAACAGCTCCCGGCCAGGTCACCCTGCTGACTCTGTTAAATCTCGCACAAATATACAGTATGTATGTAGAGCCACTTATTTCAAAGCTTTAACGCAGAATTATGGACACCAGCAAGTTCCCATGAAATCAGCAGCTAATGGGTATGACTTTGATCTCCGCTGTTATATAATTCCAAAGCAACTAGGACAATCTTAAACACACGAGATGACCTGTCAGACAACAAGCCAATCAGACACAGATATGTGGACTTTAAATGTACTTGTTGTACATGTTTAGACTTGTTTTAATTTAGGTTTTTTTGTGTAGTAAATGTTCAGTTCCGAAGTAGATAAAATAGTTATCTATCTGCTTTTACAGTTTCATCTTTATGTCTGGAGATGTATTATGCCCCCATGCAGGAAAGTGTGTGTGTGTGTGTGTGTGTCAAATACTCTCAGGTTTAGTTCTCACTGAATCAGTAAATTCATATTGGTCACATAGGCCTACCTTTAATATTGGATGTACAAATTATTAAATGCTGCAGGGATGACGTATTTTTGTAGGCCAAACAGGATGTTAGCACCACACTGGTTCCCTTGAAAAAAAGACAGTAGGAGTTTTCCATTTAATATCTGATTATTAAAAGAAATAAGCTATTTGGCAAACTAAAGTTTATTAATCCACAAGTTGGGTATTTTTGTATAGATGTTTTTGTCTTGGAACGCATGAAAAATATCTCTTTGGAGTTTTGTTAACACAAGACCTTATTACAGGCACTTTACCTATTCAAAAACACATTGACAAGGTAACCTGAAGTGATAACAAATTCTTACTCATTTCCGGATTTTAGGAATCATTCTGTACCACTTTATTATTGAGGAAATAGGCTGCTTTGGGTCCAAACTAAACATGAACTGTTTAAATCAATGATTCAGCCGACACTTGGTGTACACCTTCTATGCTTTGACTTCAAATCTAACCATTGACCACAGAAGGTATTTCATCCTTTTGTATTTAAAAAAGACAATAAGCAACATGAAATCTCAACCAGCACATCAAAGCTGCCATAGTTTATGGCAATTTAGCGAAGTCATTCCTGAAAGTTTCAGAAAATGTCAACTTGTTGTTTTTCACATTTTTAGGGTTTAAACTAAATGAATAATGTTGCCTTCACAGCCAGTCTGTTAGCGCCTATGTTCACACGTTATGCTAAGCTGCCCAGCTGTTGGCTGCTGCTCCATCATTAAAGTATAGACACTATAGTAGAAAGCTACTGATCTTCTCACAAAACCCATGGCAAATACAAGTAAATAGTTAACTACCCAAAATATATAACAATTCATTTTTAAAGTTAAGTAAAAAATGAATGCAATCATTAATGGTTGAATAAAGTCACAACAGCCACCACTTCAGAAGGTGCAGAGCAGTTTGAAAAGTTGTTTGTGTCAGATTTGAGCACTAAATGATATGGTAAAAAGTCTAACCACGCAGTTGCATGGAGATGTTGTTACAGAAAGTCACATGTTCATATGATGCTCACACATACAGTATACTGCTAGCAGCGTTTCCCAGCTCGCAGCACAGTCCCTGCCAACTCCTTACTCCAGTCAGTGATTCTTGGACCTCAGCATTTTTTTAACAGCTGTCTAAAATAAATATGTTGCTCCTTCATTTCTCAAATAATCATTATCCCCTCTGATCACCTATTACAATAAACAATTCCCCCTTCAACCTTTCCCTGTACACCAGGGGTGCCCAACCAGTCGATCGCGATCGGGAGATTCCCAGTCGATCGCGAGATGTGACTAAAAATAGAACAACAATATTCTGTTTTATCGTTAATGTCCTATAACATAATCTTCCTGTGCCAGAATAATGCACTTGAACGCATCAAAGCTTTGTAATTGGCCGGCGTCACCCCATGTGTCGGGGCGTGGCTGGTGGGCAGTGGGCACTATTTCGCTGACGTTGTCCGTGTCAACAGGAGTGCCAGTCCGCACACACACAAGACCGCAATTATGGCAGAAGCAAAAAAGCCAAACATATATAATTTTCACTCCGAGTGGGAGGATGATTATTTTTGTATCTATTCCAATTCAAAGTCCATCTGTCTCATCTGCAATGCGAGCGTGGCTTTATCGAAGAAGGGTAATTTAGGAGCGGCATTTACGACGGAATTCCCTCCTAATTCTGCCCTACGCTCCCAAAAGGGGAGGGACCTGAAAGGACAGCTAAATGCACAGCAGTCCATTTTCACCAGGCCCAACAACAAGAGCAAGGCTGCTACCATAGCATCTTATCGTGTCAGTCACGTTCTTGCGAAACACATGAAGTCTTTCCAGGCTGAAATGACTGAGGGGGCTGTTCAAAAATCCTAGGTGGGCGACTTTTTTTTTCACAACAACGAAAAATACTGGCAATGTAATGAATTGACACACCAAGTTTTTTTCATTCTCACTGCTCTACAATCTCTTTGCTTCTTTATTTGTA